GAAGGACTGATGCTGAAGCTGAAACTCCAATACTTTGGCCACCTGATGTGAAGAGCTGACTCATTTGAAAAGACCCTTGTGCTGGGAAAGATTGAAGGTAGAAGGAGAATGGGATGACAGAGGATGAGACGGTTGGATGGCATTACTGACTCAATGGACATGAGTTTGAGTAAACTCTGGGAGTTGGTGATGGACAGGGAGGCCTGGCATGCTGCACTCCGTGGGGTTGCAAAGAGTTGGAAACTGAGTGACTGAACTGAACTGAACTATTATGCCAAGCATTATGTCTACAGCAGGATCACATTTAATAGCTCTATAATGTAGGTCCTATTTTTTTTTCTTTTTGAGAAAATTGATGCCCCCAAGTTTAAGGAATTTCTCACTCATTTTCCTTGTGTTAGACAGCAATTCTCCAGTCTTCCCTAGACCCACGCCCTTTGCAATACACTTCTGTAATTCTTCCCATCAAGAGGTGAATTTCATGTCTCCAGTCCTCGGATTCAGAATGGCCTTGTAACTTGCTGTGGCCAATAGACTGTGCACAAAGTGATGTATCAGTTCCAATCCTGGGTCTCCAGAGCCCTGGTGCACTACTTTTCTCTTTTCTGTCTCTTGAATCATTGTCCGCAGCCATGAGAACAAGCCAGGGCTAACAGGCTGCTGCTGAGATCGTATTGAGCAAAGACATCTCAGATGACATCATTCTAGACCAGCCAACCTGCAGCAGACCCCAGCTGTGAGAGAGGTCAGCCAACCAGGAGACTTGTGGAAAATAATTGCTATTTTAAACCACTCCATCTGGGGGTAGTTGTAGCTACCATTAGTATGGTAGCAATACATAACTGATGCAGTCATGTAGCCAGGATGTGACAGAATCTCCTTCTCTCACACAAATACACACACAAAGACATGACCTGTGTGCTCTGATCCATGCAGCTTGATAATAGGAGACTAAGAAATTAATTTAGCCCCACCTCCATTCATGAAACCATGAATGTGGAGGGGGCACTAGGAGACCCCCTGCCCTAGCATCAGAACTGGTCGAGTAAAAAAAAGAAAGAATTGGTTGAGTAGGAGGGAAGAGAAGGGGAGGGGCCTCAGAGAATTTTCCAGCCTCTTCAAACTAAGAGACATCTCTGTTGCCCCATCTCAGTTCCTTTCTTAAGAGACCCACCCCTCAGCCCGTCCCTCCTTCCTTCCCCTCTCCCTCACCCAGACCTGGCGGATCCTTCAGACCTCTTCCTCTTTCACTTTGCCGGTGCAGGTGCTATTTGTATGTGGAGAGTAGATCTTTGAAGTTCCTGTTCTTTTCCTTCCCAAGTCTCTGGGAATGGAAAGGTGGAAGGGATATCAGTTAACAGATTTTTAAAATATAAATAAAGGTTTATAAGATACTACAGTCTGACTGAATTCTAGCAAACACAGATGTAATGGATCAGCACTAGCTGTTGAGTAGAAATTGGTCTTTGGTCTTCACAGAGCAGTACACTCAGGAATGGGTCAATACTGGAGTTTCCTGGAGTAGAAACCATGGTCTTCTGAAGGCAAGAGGCAGGGTCAGTGCTAATGACATTTGCCCTGCCCAAAAATACAGCAGTGGAGGCCAGTGCCCCTGTGCTGAACCTATCACTGCTTCAGTGTGCTCCTTTCCCCACTGTCCAAGGAAAGGTAAAATCTTTTTATTTATTCAACAAATGAAATGTCTGCTATGTCCGAGACACTGTTCCAGGTGCTGAGGATGTATCAGTGTAAAACCCATCAAACTTGTATTTTAGTACATATTTACAAGCAACATAGATACATATTTCTTAAGTGCTTGGAGGAAAAATAAAGCAGGAATAAGGTATGAGGACAGGAAGTACAGTCAGACTTGGGAGGTCAGGGAAGACTTTTCTAGACAGGTGACACTTGAGCAGAGGCCTGCATTAAATGAGGGAGGAAGGCACGTAGATACTGGGAAAGGGCGAGGAACAGCAGTTTTCCTGAGGCAGCAGCCACGTGCTTGGTCCTTAGGCGGTCCTGCCAGCAGCTGAGCCGATGGGATTGATCAAGGGATGTGGAGAGAGCCATGGGCCAATTATCACCATTAATCATAACCACTATAGACCAATAGGTAGGAATATTTTGTGGACTGGAGGGAAACATTCAATTTATATCATTTAAGGCAAACTGTATCCCAGTCATGGCTACCCATGAGTCATTTGTGGAACTGTGATTCCTGGGCCCACCTACTCTTTATCAAAATTTCTGGAGATGAAGCCCTAGAATCAGTGGTTTTTTTTTTTTAAGAAACAAAACCCCTCCAATCTAATGTATGATCGTATATGCAAAGAAAACACGTGAAAGGATGTATATACCAAACTACAGTATAGGAACCTCAGGCATAAATGAGCAGAAATGCCTTTAAGAATTTAACTTTTTAAAACAGTTCTCAAAATTAGCCCTTTTAATGAAATTCTGTCTTGGTAAAACTGCTACCAAAGACATCCAGTTTGTAATATAGCCCGAATAAAACGGATCAATTTGATTCTTTATTGCAAACCAGAATGCAGTCAGTATTTGTTGGATGAATGTCTCGTAACAGCTGTCAAGTCTGTTGGTCACCCCACCCTATTGGGTTGCTGCTATCACAGTAGCAACTGATAATGGCATTTATTATTGCTGCAGTAGTGGGAAAGTTCTCATCTATTAAGCACTCTATTGATTCAACCTGCTTAGGTTTCAAACTAATTAAAATCCTTTTTGATTTAGATAGGTTAACAAACAGATGAATGGATTTCTAACCCATCAACAGGTATCGCATTATTTGAGTGAAAGTTGCTCACTCATGTCCGACTCTTTGCAACTCGGTGGACTATACAGTCCATGGAATTCTACAGGCCAGAATGCTGGAGTGGGTAGCCATTCCCTTCTCCAGGGGCTCTTCCCAACCCAGGGATCAAACCCAGGTGTCCCGCATTGCAGGTGGATTCTTTACCACCTGAGCTACCAGGGAAGCCAATTGCATTATGTAGACTTATCCAAACATTAAGAAAGAAAGGTTATACTAGAAAACCAACTTAGGACGCAATTTAAAGAGAAAAATTTTATTGCAATATAAAACGCACTTATAAAATGTCCACAGAAGGCATTCTTCACTGCTATATAAATTTACTGGGAATACTTTATTCACTTTCTATTGTGATGACATCATCTAAAACATAAACGATGAGTTATACTCTATAACAAATGCATCATTGATTTTCAACAATCATTGGTTTAATAATTAGTTTAAGATTATATAATCACATCTATATTCTGGAATGTCCACTTTCATGTAGTGTAATAGAGTTTAAGAGTATAATTGCACATGGATGGTATAGAAAAACATTCACTACTAAATTATTTTATACCATTATGACAGGTTAACATTCTTTCTGACCGAAAATAAGAGCTTCAGCAGCTTGGTCTATAGTCAGCACAGTTCCAGGATTCTCAATGCAGTAGTGTGTATGTGTTTGTGTGTGTGCACCCACCGAAAAACTTAACTCTTTTGTGAAAAAGTGCAACATTACCGTCAATTATTTTGCATGTTTAAATATGCAAATATGATTATTTGTAAACAAACAAAACCCCACACAAATACTCTTAAATCTAGAAAAAAAAAATCTGTCAACTCATAATTATTCTAACATGCTTTAGTTGAACACACATTGGATTTCTGAAAGGTGCATATATTACCTTAGATAATAAAGTGTAAAAATGACTTTATTTCATACTATGAAATGTGGATGTCTGATATTTGCTTTATGCAGCATTAAGTTTAGATCAAGAAATTCTAAATCCTGGATCCCTACAATTCACTTAGAAAAGTCCTCAAAATTATGGCTCTTGCAGCAGGTTTATCAGATTACACATGATGAAGTGTTCTAGCTCCCTCTATTTCAAGTATTGAAGAAAATGAGGCTCAAAATCTCTGGAGGTTGTAACTAAAAATGTAAAGCTTTAGAAAACAGTTAAATGTTTTTGAAATAAGATATAAACTGAAACATAATTTATCTGTGTTAGGCTGATGAGTACTAGGACTTTAAAATAATTTTATTAAATCTGAACATTCACTCAAAAATGATAAAGAACACAATTTGCCTATTAGTGTATGGTTTTAGAGAAATCAATCGTGATGTTTAAAACGTTTTCAATATTGTTGACATCAGTTTTGTTATCTTTTGAATATTAACTTGATATTCAATTAAACATAAATATTTTGCCTCACCCTACATATAATGAAATGACTTACTTTTGAAATGGGAAAGATTTATAGCACTAGAATGAGAATTTAACTAAAGTTGTTTAAACATGTCTTTCAACATCATCAGAAGTCCTACAGTATAGAAAATATCTAGTACCCTTAAGGTTTCAGAGTGAGCTGATCTTCTGCAATTTTAAAGCCATTTAAAAAACCAGAAAGTCAAACAGAAAAGACTGCTGCAATAAAGCAATGTTTCTAAACATTGCAGATGTGATCCCACGGTCTGAGTGAGCACTGCTCTTCAGAGAAAGCAACTTTCTGCTTTTCCCTAGGCACATGAAGTTTTCAGCTTAGAAAATAACCTAACCTGGTCCTTAACATATTCATTAAGTGGAATGAATATTTTAAGGTCTTTCTCCCTTAAAAAAAAAAAGTATCACCAAACAGTAATAAGACTTGCATCTTACTTTTAGACATTAGCCTTTTCTGGAATTGGCCCAACTGTATAAAATTTTAAGAATTATATGAAAAGTGTGGAATAATCACTCTATGAAAACTGTGATGAAATTAAACATCATTATATTGAACTCTTTTCTAGATTTAACTCAGAAATCATAAGTCTTTTTTAACATTAATATTATAAACATACAGAAGTGAAAAGTGCTAATTTTCAAAAAGTACAATTTTCCCCTCTACTATATATCAACGTGGAATGATTTCAGTTCTCCTGTACTAAAAGCTGGACTTTTAAAAAACTAGTGTTATAATAATTTTAATCAGTAGTAGCTTCAGTTTCAGCTGGACCCCTAATTATTCTTCGAATTCCTCTTTTTCCTGAAGGGCCTTTTGGTTTTGCAAAACTTTGTTTATGTGCATGCTGCTTGGGATGTACTTCTTCATAAAGGAAGTCTGCAGTCAACTCATCCCCATTGTCTATCTCGATCTGTAAGAGGTGAAATTAGCAAAGTGTGACGCAGTATGAAAAAACACAACATTCAAAACCTAATACAAACAACGTTTGCAGGTGTGAATGCTCACAGATAAATACATAATATCCATTCCAGCAAGAAGGAACCCAGGACCATATGAAAATAGTTCACTTGAATCTTTTTTGCAGGGAGGAGGTGGGAGCTAAATGGAGTTGCCTGAATATATAATCCACTATATTTATTTTCTATTTGGTTCTTTCTTCTCCAGTTTAACTAACGTTTAAAAGTAGTATAGTAGGAATCATCACTCAAGTTGTTCTGCTTTAGTACACTATATATTTTCCAGAAACATTACTAATGGCCCCTTCATCACTTGGGTCACTTGAAATCACTCTGTTACACAGGTTGGCAAACTGTGGCCTGCAGGACAAATCTAGTTCAAGTTACTAGTGTGTTTTATATTTATAAGGGTTGTAAAAAACAAATAAACTAATAAAACAAAAATATATGACAAAGACCATATGTGGCCTGGCAAAGCCTTAAATACTTACTATCTGGTCTTCTGGTAGAAAAACTCAGCCAGCCCCTGCTATAGAAGGTGATTCTTAAGAACTTTAAAAGCTCTTAAAATGCTCAGTACCTAAAACACAGGTAATTTGTAAGGACCTGTGTTTTAAGAGTTGAAGGGCTCAAGAATAAACCATATCTCACCTGCATTTAAGAAAACTTGTAACTTAGTTCCCCAAATTTATGTTATGCCCATTCTCTCCTTTCCCAACAACTGGAAAGAGTCTCAACATCCCATGACTCAGTTATAAATGAAGACTGTGGTTTCTTACTAATAAAGTCTTGAGAAGATCAGAAATATGCAGCTTTAGGAGCACTGTCCAACAGAGCTTCCTGCAATGTGGACTTATTCTCGAAATTCGGCACCAAATACAGTGCCACCAGCCACATGTAGCTAAAATGAGCACCTGAAATGTGGCTAGTGTTTCTAAGGAACTGAAATTTAAATTTCATTTAATTTTTATTTATATTTAAATAGCCACATGTACCTTGTGGCTAAACATTAGATCTACAGGGAGGCTGAGATCATAACAGACCATCCCCAAGGACTTAAGAGGATTTCCTAAGGATTCATGATAAGAACAAGAAAAAAAAAAAAACCTTTTCATTTACAAATTATAATACATCGTGAATTACATGAAAAACAATAAAAATGTAATAAAAATTGAAGAATTTTAAATAGGTATTAAATATATCAATAAGATAAATTAGGTAAAATAAATTAGATAACTAATTAGGTCATTACCTTTCTAATGACATCCATTTGTAGCTGTCTTTCTACAATCTCTAGCAGAGGGCTCTTGCAGCTAGAATACAGCATTCGTTCTCTTATACTGCATGTGTATCCAGGCATTGAATAAATAAAAACTGTAAATTAAAATAATAATAAATCAAATTAGTAGCATATCAATTAAAGCAAATACTAAATCTTGTAAAACTACAACTAAGCCCTCTGGCCAAGAAATAAGAAAGAATATAGTGACGAAATGCCAATCAGCAAACGAAAAGCAACATGTTAAAAAAAAAAAAGTACCATATACCTATAGACTCCAAATAATCTCCTTCATGGGAATGTTTATACAGAAAGAAATGATAACGTGCTGCATCTTTGGGAATCCTCTTTGGCAAATCTTTTAGTTCTGTATTTATTGTGCTGGCCAAAATTATAATTTCATTTTTTATATCTATTTCCTGTCAACAGAAACAAAATACTTATTAAAATAGATACACAAAAATTTAAAATTTATAATTAAAAAAACAAGGAGATAAGGAGAAAGTTAATAATTTCACTTTTTCCAATGAAGATCTTTGCTTTTGTAAGTTTAAAAACAATGAATAAAAAATAAAGATTTAAAATCCATTAAAAACAAAACTTATATTAATATAAGCTAAAGGTACCAAAGAGAAAAGCCACTTCATAATAATCATGTCTCTTACCAATTGCACGTAGTTCAGTTGTCTGTTATTCAATTTTTCCAAAGCTTGAAAAGCTTCTCGAGAAATAGGAAATGCTACTCCTTGCAGTGTTTGATGCTTAGTGTCCACACTCACGTCACTCTGTACCTAGTATGACAGATTCAATTTACTGATGAATTTTAGCATTAAGCAGTGTCAGATGGCAAAGAAAACCTAAACTCTACAGAGTGAGGCCATTCCACCCTTTTAATATAATTAATTCTGCCCATTTTAATATAATTAAAAGTAACACTTAAAACACTATGAACTTAAAAGGCAAACTGTTCACATTTGTTTCAGGTTCTGCTAGCACTGTGTCAACATGCAGAGTGTATGCCACATTTTGATGAAAATGCCAAAAGTGAACATTTGAGTGAGTGTGCAATGTTAGCAGGGCTTTGTTTATATGTTTGGTTTGGCACAACTGCCATGAGCTACACAAGCTCTTTGAAGTATCTTCAAATTATACTTTTAATTATGACATTTTACTTGATAAAACTTATGAACACTGTGATATAAATACAGCATGTGTAGAACTTTGTTCCGCTAGACATAAAGTGCAACACAAACACCATGCAGAGTTGAAAGGAGTACAAACAATATACAAAGACACAACATAGCTCAACAGCTGTACTACTGCAGAAGTTCCAGACTTAAGAGCTCTCATTCCTAAGAACGTGGTGTGCACGTATTGGAAGAAGAGTACTTCAAGAAAGCTTTCAATGCACATATTTAAGACTTTTATACTCAATAAATGACATTTTAGTATAGGGTCTCATTTGCAGTGTTGCAACAAAGTCAAAATTGAAAGTTTACTTAAAAAAAAAAATGAATGGAGATTCTACAGCATAAATGGCATTGGATAATGAAAACATTATAGAACATATGCAAATGCATACCCCAATAAGATCCTCTGGGTTCTGATTGCAAGGAATAAAACAAACTATCAAACTTGTTAAAAAAAAAATCATGTAAAAATCCATACTCCAATAACTTGAGTTAAAATAATAATGATAGATCCTTGCTATCAGGTCAATATAAATAATATTCATTTTCCAGACTGATTCTTATTAGTCTGTTACTCAGACACGTGAACAGTAGTTTCTGCTACTTGTTCTTTTCTGTAAAATTCCAGTAGAACTACAGTAGCTATTCTAACTTAAAATTGCTGCAGTAAACACATCAAAATGATAAATTATAATATGGATAAAATTTATTGACTCATATGCTAAACAAGTACTCCTATAACCATCTCCCATATGTATATATATGTGCTCACACCCATCCAGGTAGTGCCCATAGACACCTTACAGAGCCTCTAGAAATCCTACACACACTATAGCATATATGTTTTACTCTCTTTAGTCATTAGTATTCTCTGAAATAGCAAAACAAACCTTCCTCAGGTAACCTTATTAGATATTATATCCCTCACACTATGTAAGTAACATATGCTTTTCCCATTTATTTAGTTTCAAAGTATAAAATTAAGGAGAGCTGTACTTCTAACAGGAGGATTACTAATCCAACCCATACATTATAAAGACAGGAGAAAGCTATTTATGAAATTGACATGAAATTTAACATTCACTTCCAACTTTTTCCTAAAAACACATTGAACACAGTCTTGTCTCTAAACAGAACAGAATGTTAGCTATTCAACTTATTTATTCTCTAGTTACCTCTTCATCTAGTAATTAAAAATTACAATACTTTTAAGCACTTAAAATCTGGCAAGATTTCAAAATGGTAACATACCTCATTAATTTTAATCTGTCGTAATTCTTCTTCAGCTGCAGTCAGTGGGGCCGGAGAAGACTGTGACAGCAAGTATTTTTTATACCCATGTAATGATACATCTTCCTGTAAGCACAGAAGTTGTTACTAGCTGTGAGGGTACTTTAGGGAAAACAAAATTATTAATTTAATAAAAAATGTTTTAATTGATAATAAATGGTAACAAGAATCTTACTACTCTATTTTTAAAAATATTCTATTCTACAGTTTTCAAAAAGTTTTAAGGGGAGTAGCTACGCTTCACTTCTAAAGCTCTGTAATTACCACTCTTTTGTATGAGTGCAGTGGTGGAGACACATGATGAACCCGATCATGCTTCAAGTCTACAGGACAAATACTACTGACCTTCTGGGGAAGCCTTCCCCATAATTATTTAATAATCAACACCCTCAGATTATGAATTCTGTACTATAATGACATGTAATTATTTACAGAAAATAATTATGGTTCTTATTTAAAAGAAAAATTACTTCAAATAAATTTACTTCTCATCAACAGTTTGTGGTTTGGAAAAAACTAGACTTGAGAAACCAGACCACTTCACAATTAATGTGAATAAGCAAGTCTTGTGCTCTTATAACCATCAGAATGTATTACTCACTGAATCACAATAAAAGCTCTGAATAACAACAAAAAACTTTTAAAAAAAATATACTGTAATTTTCTTAATTTGGGGGTATATGTAAAAATACATGTATTTACCATACAAATTTTAAAATGAAATAAATTCTTAATCATAACACATATTAATCAACAATTACCCCAATCATGAATTTACCTCTCAATATTCTAGTTTAAATAATACTTATTCTCTAAGAGACAGTCCAGCCTTTAAAGACTAAGATGTCAACATATTTTAAAAGGGTGAGTATTGTATGATGTTTCAGTGAATGTGTATATCATATGAAACAATGTCTTCTCTTATTCTTATGTTTACAGATTTACCAATCAGAATTCACATTAATTAACCCATTACCTAGAAGTTCTTTAAGCGTTTTAACTGCAACACACAGACTCCATATAAAATATAAGTTTTATACCTTTACTGTTCCAAACACCTCATCTTTAATATGGCCACCTCCAAACTCCTTTTTCAGAGTTGCTCTTGTTGCTGCATACAACATTTTTTGACGAACCTAGTAATTGTGAAAGTTTACTTGTAACTTTACAGGTGAAAACTATCATTACAAAAATAGCATTTAATGAATGTATTGAAACCGTCAAGCACATTAAAAATAAACTGTGACAATGTCCATCAAGTGTAACATGCTAAAATGTGTGTATACAGATAGGCATCATAACTTTGGCATCTAAAACATCAATAGCTACTAAGGTAGATATCAACTTATAAGTCATTTTTCAAAAAGTAGAAAAAGCTAAATTTTACAAAATCCTTCATTTTTTCAAAGTATAAAATGAGTTCAAGAATTAAAAGAAGCTACTTAAAACACTACTTTAATGTCATTGAGATAAAGTAATCTTGATAGTGACATTTTACTCAAAGCAAGTCTAGGTGAGATATTACTAATTAAAAATCAAATATTTACAGCATAACTATGGCATAAAACATTCTATGAAGGACAAAGATGAAAAGAATTACAAAATATACTATTATTAACGAGTCTGATATCTATAGCATCTACGGGAAACTACTAAAGATAACTGCCAACCAATAGAAATCATTTCATAATTCTGCACTGTCAAATCCAATATTTCTTTCAGACAAGATATACAGAGTTAAATAGGAGGAGATGACTTTTGAGAATGATATCTACAAAATTTTAAAAATTATTATTTTTCTATAAGAAGAGAGAATTAAGTCTTTAAAATATTGGGCTGTATCCATATATTAATTTTTTTGTTCTATCACTTAAGGGCTTCCCACATAGCTCAGTTGGTAAAGAATCTGCCTGCAATGCAGGAGACCTGGGTTCGATCCCTGGGTCGGGAAGATCCCCTGGAGAAGGAAATGGCAACCCACTCCAGTATTCTTGCCTAGAGAATCCCATAGACAGAGGAGCCTGGCAGGCTACAGTCAATGGGGTTGCAAGAGTCCAAGAGTCGGACATGACTTAGTGACTAAACCACCATCACTCAACTTTCCTAAAAGAAATACTTATCTGTATGTATGCTCATCACCTGAATGGTAGCGATTAAGAATATTTCATATAATGTTCAGTTAGTTCTGTAAAAATTATATGTTATTATGCTCAGAGCAAAATAGTAACCTTTATTCTTCAGAGGTCCAGAGAGTCATTTATAATAGCCACAAATTTTTAAATTTAAAATCAATAATAATTCTTCTGATTTCAATCAAGGTCAAGATTTCTGAATCGCAGTAAATTATCCCTGGTTCTACATTACCAATCCAGGGATTTTTTTCCCATCGTCGTTTCTTTCTATGAGAAAGACTATTGCTTCTTAACTTTTTCTTGGCCTAGGAATATTTCAGAAAAAATTTTTCTAGCTTTTAATGTTAAAGTGAAAGTGAAGTCACTCAGTCGTCTCCGACTCCTTGAGACCCCGTGGACCAGGCTCCTCCGTCCATGGGATTTTCCAGGCATGAATACTGGAGTGGGTTGCCATTTCTTTCTCCATTTAATGTTAAACAAGTTACCAAAAAATCACTTACATGAGAATGATCAGGAGACCACGCAATGAATATCCATTCATATCCTTGGGCATTCTGAGAATCTAACCTGAATAATACATAGCATGGTTGTTTGTCCTCCAACAGGGGTAAAACAAAGGAATCATAATCCTGGTCCCAGGAGTCTGAAGGCTCCCTACACGACCCAATCACAAGTTTCTCTGTGAAGAACAATTTTTAAGACACATAAATGGTTTGAAATACCAAATGGTAGAATAATGAAAAATAGAATAAATTAATATGTAATTATTAATTGCTCTAGTCACATCAGTATATGAAAAGGACCTTGGCTGTAACAATACAATATATAGTAGTATATAATACAATAGTAGTATATATGAAACTATAATATAAAGTAGTATTAAAAACATGTAAAAATTATGACCAGCACAGGTAAAATAATGTTATGAAAAACACAAGAAAGGAACATACAAAAATGATTATAAATAGCTGAGTTGGATGGCTGAAGAAAGGGTAGTTATAGTCTACTTTCCAAATGTTTGTTATAAAGTATCAACAGAATGTATTTAACTAAGCATCCTACCACTCAAAGGTGTAATATCTGAAATTAACATTGAATTGCACAGTTAAGAAATACTAAATAAAAACAGGTTTAGCTCCTACTAGTCCACAGTACTACAAATTTAAAAATCTGTCCACAAGCACAAATTGGTACAGTCACTTTGAGACATTATTGGGAGAATCAAGACTGTACTCTGCATAGAGAATCTCTTGCACATATACAAAGGTATTCACTGCAGCACTATAAAATAACAGTGGAAACTGAAAATAGCCCATATGTTCATCAGCAAGAGAATGGACATAAAACATGTGGCAGTCATATGATAAAATTCTATTCATATTTAAAAAGAATTAATGAGCCTCTATCAAAACTAATTATAAAAATAATATTTACAGAAAAAGGAATGATGCAGAAAAAGACGTCAGTTCATGTGAACTTAAAAACTCAAACACAGCACTATATGTTATTTAGGGATTGCATACACAAAAAAAGTTCCTAATATAGTTTCCTCAGGTCGGAAAGTAGAGTTGTTTAAACATCAAATTACAAAGAGTTTGAAGCAAATATGATAAAATGTTAGCAGTTATTAATTTAAGAAGAGATGGATGTATTTGTCATTTATTCTTCATAATTTCCGTATTCAAAATTTTTTCTCAAAACAGAAAACCAGAGAAGTGACAGACAAAATGCTGTCATTTTTCTGTTGTAGAGATGTGAGTTATATCAACTTTTCCATTTTACTTACTTAAGTAAGTCAATTAGAAAGTGGTAACACTTAAAAAATTTTAGTTCAATAGTTCTAAAACAGGCTACTTTACAGTATGTTTATTCTCATTGCCTGTATTAACATATGTAGAACTGCATATTTTTCAAACTATTTTAGTATTTTTAACATATAAGAGAAACTGGAAACCAAATTAGATTTACTTCCAGTTTATGAAAGAACAAGGTATTTTTCCAAAGCAAAATATTTCAAGGTAATTAAGAAATTAGGCCAATGGGATGTTTTAACATATTCATTTGAGATTAAGTAATTATAATTTAATTATTCACATTCAAACCAGGCAAATTAAAAGACTCTCCCACCCAATTAATTTCCCTGCTTACAGCTTTATTTTGAAAGGATCAATTTACAGTTTGTTATATTCTCAGAACTTTTTCCCATAACAAGAAAAGGGAATCATTTCTGCAGCACACATTACAATCAAGTGGAGAAAACAGTTTAAAACCCTTTCTTTCTACTTCAAACTAACTTTATTGAAAAATAATTCACAAATAACTGTTTATTTTTCAGATAATCGGCTGTTACTGATTTTCATTCCAGAGATGCAAGTACTGACATTAGATACAGAGCAATACAGAAAGTGAGACACAAAAAGTGAAAGAGGAAGATGTCACACCAAAACCAACATCTTTTTGTTTCCCTGATGGTCAACTACAGAATTCAGAAGGTAAGCAGGGGCCGTCAGGAAATGCCCAAAAGATAGAGGATCCAGGTTAACCAAAGGCAAGCTCTGAACCTGCTTCACATTTATTAATAGGCCAAATCACTGACAATGACTTAGCTTTAAAACATAACACCCAGTAATTCAAGAACAAAAAATGTTTAACTAACCATTTTCAATAGATATCTTCAGAAGTCTGTATTTTCCATTTCTTGCTCTGGCAAAGATATCTTTAACATCTTCAGTTGCTGTGCAAAAACATACAGAAGAGTAATATTTATGCATTAATACTTTCTAATGCTACAATAATAATGCTAGTTGAATAAGGAAAACATGAAATACAAAGAAAAAATCTTGAGTATGCAATATTTTCTTATTAACAGTCATTTAAATTATAAAACTTAAAAGGTATACCAGACACTCAACACAGCTTTTGTTGTTGCTGCTGTTGTTCGGTCACTAAGTCACGCATGTCCAACTCTTCTGCGATCTCCTGTTCCGTAGCCCACCAGGCACCTCTGTCCACAAGATTTTCCAGGCACCATACCAGAGTGGGTTGCCATTCCCTTCTCCAGGGGATCTTCCCTATCCAGGGATCAAACCTGCATCTCCTGCACTGGCAGATAGGTTCTTTACCACTGAGCCACCAGGGAAGCCCCATATACAGCTAAGAGACATAAGTATGTTTTAAAAGTATATTAATTCTAACCTGTTCCAGCTATGTTAGAATTGGGAATGAATATATTAAAGTTTCTCAAACCCAATAATGAACAAATTACAAATGTGAGAAATATCTTATTGAAAACTTGAAAAATATATTGAAAAATGCCGAAAATCTGCTTTCATTCTCTTCTGGTCCAGTTTCAAGTTTATGATAAATAAAAACACCTTCTTCATCAATTCATTTTCTACATTTTCATGTTTAAAGATGACAATAAACGTCAAATGCCCTATCCTGATTGAAGTCAATAAAATTCTTTGAAGTTTATACTTCTGGTCACACTTTTCTGACTCGTATTTCTCAAAAAGCTGGAGTAATCTCACTGAGCAAATGTATACTTAATAACCTATCCCTTGTGCTATTAAAACTTCAACTTCGTTCTGACTGTTCTTGGGGTGTATATTGACAGTAAGAACCACGTTTACTAGTGCTTGCTATTAGACTCAAGCATCAAAGTCAATAATTAGATATCCATGCATCAGAACTAACGCAAATAAAAGACTGCTTTTAGATTTGAGACTATTTTGCTTTTCTTTGTGTGTGCAGGAGGAGGTATGGGGTGGTGTCAAAGACTTACTAACAAAACACAATTAGATGTTCATCTGGGGAAGATTCGCTGTCTATTAACAGGAAGACCTTGCGTTTATACTAGAACTCGTTAAGTGATCGCGAGTAACCCCGGGACATACTATTTGATTCTGATGAGGTGAGAGCTTTCAGACTGCCCATTTGCAAACCAGGAAATAACACAGGTCAATTAAAATTACACGTTCAACTGCTTGAATGGGATAATTACACGATGCCACACAGATCAGACTTTTCAGTTCCCTGAGGAGTACCTAACAACGACCAAGACGCCTCCTACTCAGGATACACACAACGGTGCGGATGTTCCCATTTTGGAAGAAAGCGCAGAAGAGTTTGGGAAGCATTCTTAGTAGAAATGAAAAAGATTCCCGCATCTTTCTTTTTATAATTCAAATACTGTAACAACTCTTCTGGACCGTAAAAAAGAAAATTCGCCTGTCACTCGACAATAAAAGGACCTCAGTGGGCTCCACGGCTCCAGGTCTTCCCAATCCGTAAAGTTGGGTTAAGGTCGGCTGCGGCTGCAGGCACGCCCCCTTCACCCCGGCCGCCGCCGGACCCACTTCCTTCGCTCGGCGAATTTCGGGTCCGTCCGCAACGTGGCGGCGGCCGGGCCCCGGCAGGGAGGGAGGCAGGCCGAGAGCACCCGGGACACGGGAGCGCAGAGAGAGTCAGAGGCCCGGCTCGCCCCCGACATCTATTCCCAGTGTTTCGGGCCCGACTCCGGCCCCGCCCGCCTTGCTCGGGGCCTCCAGGGAGCCCCTTCCCCAAGGGCAGCGCCGGCGCCGTTACCTTGGATGCCGGTCTGGTGGGACATGGCGGCGGCCGCGGGCTCCCGGCTCCAGCACTGAGTGCAGCGAGCGGCCCCGGCCGGCGGCTCCAGGAAGTGGCCGCTCCTCCGCCAGCCCCGGTGCGTCATCGGCCTGCGACCCACCGCCGCCCCGCCCCGCCCCTCCAGGGCCTCGGCGTCCTCGCGCGCCCCCGGCGCTCCCGCCGCCTTCGGTCACCCGGACCGTCTCCCAGCTGCGGGACTGCAGATCCACGCCTTCGGCCCTCAACTCCCGCTATTCCAGATTTCTGCCGGGGGTCACTGTCTCCGGGGTTTGCCGCCGCTTCTCCGGCTCCACCACCGTGAAGCACCACAGGACTGGCAAGATAGCTTTCCCTTGTGGGGTCTGCCCTGCCAACACCTTTCTCTGGTTCCTCAAAAGGATGCTTAAAAACGGAAACGAACGTTTTACTGAACACATGTTTTCAGCTTTAAAAAGATGTGCAAGATATCCTTCTTGGTTTACGCTTTTGCTGTGTGTACAATTTAATGTAAAGGGTCCCGCTCCTCCCCATTTTAAAAAAAGAATTAATAGGCAGTTTCCCATCAAAATTTGAAAGGCTTTTAAATTAATTTCAGACTTAGCTTTTCTTTCTTTAGTTGGGCACATTTAGAGACAAGGTTTTCCTTTCTCTTCATTCCAAAAAGAAACAGCCAGTGAGAGTAAAAAGATGAGCTGACTTGAGTACTCCTCTGTGGTCAGTTCCATCATTCCAAACTAATACTGCTCTGCTTTCCTTTATTAAGGTGATTATTAAGGTGATTATTCAAGATTTATTTGGGAGGATAAAGTTGTAGCATATTATTAAAAACTATTTTCCATTCTGTGCTTTTATGAGCATGTGTTTCCATTTCTGAGGATAATTTATTTATTTTTTAAATTCCTGGCTGAACTGGGTCTTTGTTGCTGCCCATGGGCTTTCTCTAGCTGTGGTGAGGGTGGGGGGGCTACGCGTAGCTTAGTTGGGGTGCACAGACTTCTCATTGTGTTGGCTTCTCTTGCTGTGAAGCACAGGCTCTAAGGCGCATGAGTTTCAGTAGTTGCAGCATGTAGGCTCTAGGGTCCTCAGGCCCCAGGAGTTGTGGCTCGTGGGCTCTAGATTGTGAGCTCAGTAGTTGTGATGTGCAAGCTACAGTTGCCCACAGCATGTGGAACCTTCTTGGACAGGGATCGAACCCCTTTCAGCAGCACTGGCAGACAGATTCTTATCCATGCACCCCCAGGGAAGTCCCTTTAAGGATCATCTTTGTAGTTTCTTTTGTACTACTTTTCTAGGACTCCTGGATTATAATTTTCTAGGTAGAAAGCTAGGTCTTTTGTTTTTAGGGCCTTGAACTGACAAGTATAAAAACGTACAATCTGATTATCAACAAATACTTTGTACAGACCAATAATATAAGTACAAGTTAACAAAATCACTATTGAAATGTGACATTTTTAATTAGCAGGTAGGTAATGGCTTTGCTTAATGGGGTTCACAGCAAAAAAAGATTGCTGTGTTCTGTTCCTTGTTTTTTAGGCTCTGTTTCTCAAATACATCTTCATATTTTGGAATAAGCAAAATTTAATCTGAGCTTTATAACTTGTTTGGATTTAAGAAATGTAAGGAGGAGTTCCATTCTAACCAAATTCTTCCTGACACGACAGTTCACCCTGATTTACCAGTTTTCATAGCATTGTTGAACACAGAGAGTGCCTCTGCAATTTTCTGACTCATGTTCTGGTGAGTAGGGAAAATTGCTTAAGGAGGTTGACATTAGTCAAATGTACAGATGAGAAAAATTAATTTTCCCATATTGATCCTTAGAAAAGATCCCTGTATGTTCAACCCTGAAGAGGAGGAAAGTCCAGGTAGGTTGGATAAGACTACCACAGCATCTGCCAGATAATGCTTTCTTTTCTGCCAGTACAGTAGTTTGAGTTAAAACTGCAAGGAAGGTGTCTGCATTGTTTATTAAACAACAAAGTTCCTCTAGCAAAACAGGAAATCTGAGGAGGGAAGATGCTTGTTAAGATGCGAACAGCATGGCCAAAATGATTTTTTGTTTTTAACTGTCCATCAACGTTTCTACATGTAGTCAGATAATTTCCTTAGCAAATGGATTCTTGATGCCTTCATCGGATGTTGTTTTATGAAAATATTTGTGGTCAATACTGACAGTACACTTAAATTTCATAGTTTATTATGTCTCATGTTCATTTCAGGTTAGGTTATTGTACTAACTTTAGAGAAACGGGTTATTGAGTGTGTAGAGTGCTAGTGGTACTTGTATTTTACCTATTTAAGAGATTAGATTATGATAGAAATCTTGGTTGTTTGTTTAATCTCTCTTGCTTGCATCTTTAATGTGATACCAATTACATGACTTCTCACCTTATCTTTTTAAAAAAATTGTGATAAAATACACATAAAATTTACCATCTTAACGATTTTTAAATGTTCAATTCAGTCATGTTAAATACAGTCGCCTGTTATGCAACCAATCTCCAAAATTCTTTGCCTGTTGCAAAATTAAAACTTTATATCAACATTAAATAACTTCCCATTCCAACTCAACGTCCAGGCTCTGGCTTACATCATTCTATGTCTGTCTCTATGAATTTGACTGTTCTTAGTACCTCGTATAATTGGAATCATACAGTAGCTGTCTTTTTGTGATTGGCTTATTTCACTTACCAACCTGTCCTCAAGTTTCATCCATGTGTACCATGTAGAATTCCTTCCTTTTAAAGGTTAGATAATACTTTAGTGTGTGTATATACCATGTTTTGTTTATCCATTCATCCATTATGTCTTTCTTCTTGTTAGCAAAATCAATTGTATTATTCTCAGATATTTTTATCAGTTTCCTGTAGCTACTAATTAACAAATTAGCACAAAGTAGATGGCCTTACACAAGAGACATTTATCCTGCCACAGTTTTAAAGGCCAGAACTCCAAAATCATAGCTGCCGTCCCTCTTGAGGCTCTAGGGGAGAATCTTTCCTTACTTTCTCCAGCTTCTGGTGGCTGGTGGCATTTTTGTGGCCCCATCACTCTAATCTCTGCCTCTGTAGTCATATTGATTTCCTCCTCGTCTAGGGTATCAAATCTTCCCCTGCTTTACTTTCATAAGGACACCTGCCATTGGATTTAAGACCCACTCAGATACTTTTGCCTGGAAAATCCCATGGACAGAGGAGCCTGGTGGGCTGCAGTCCATGGGGTCGCTAAGAGTTGGACACGACTGAGCAACTTCACTTTCACTTTTCACTTTCATGTGCTGGAGAAGGAAATGGCAACCCACTCCAGTGTTCTTGTCTGGAGAATCCCAGGGATGGGGGAGCCTGGTGGGCTGCCGTCTGTGGGGTCACACAGAGTTGGACACGACTGAAGTGACTTAGCAGCAGCAGCAGCAGCAGCAGCAGATAATCCAGGATGATTTCTTCGTTTCAATAAACTGAATTGCTGCATCTGCAAAGATCCCTTTTCCAAATAAAGTAACGTTCACAGGTTCCAAAATTAGGATGTGGACATATATTTTGGAGTGTTGTAATTCAGCCATCAGTCCACTATAGATCCCTGAGGCTTCAGATACCCTTGATGATTCCTTCTTCTTGATAGACTCCTTTTTCTATTCTTTGACACTGCACTTAACTGGTCTTCTTAACTTGGCTGGGCCACAGTATCCAGAGTAGTATTGTCATACTTTAGTCTGTATGTTACTGTGAGGATGTTTTAGGGATGAGATTGACATTTAAGGAGGTAAACTTTGATAAAGCTGATAGTCTTTCATAATGTGATGGGCCTCATCCAATGAGTTGAAGACCTTGAAGATCTTATACAAATACTGAACTCTAGAGCAAGAAGAATTTCTGCCAATCTAACTGCCTTTGGACTTGTATGGAAACTTCCCCCTGAAACTCCAGTCTGTGGGATTATCTCATCAGAAATTTTTGTACTCGTCAAGTCTCCACCATTGCCTAAGCCATTGGCTTAAAGTAAATATCTCCTTTCATGTATACATACATCCAGTTGATTCTGTTTCTCTGGAGAACCCTAATACCCTTTAACTCCTCTGTCTTCTTTACCTCCTTTGTCAATATTTGTGAAAAATGAATTAATTATATCTTCATCAAACTAGCCCTACTCTAGACTTCAGTACTTCTCAATGTGATATCATCACTTAAAAGCAGGTCCTTCTAACCTGCCACACAGCTGCCTCCAGACCTAGGAGAACTTGCTTATAATAATCACATCGCAGATATCACACACAAAATTAACATAGTTGTTATTTAGTCCCTAAGTCATGTCCGACTCTTGTGACCTCGTGGACTGGAGCCTCCCAGGCTCCTCTGTCCATGGAATTTCTCAGGCAAGCATACTGGAGTGGATAGCCATTTCCTGCTCCAGGGGATCTTCCTGACCCAGGGACTGAACCCAGGTCTCCTGCATTGTAGGCAGATTCTTTACCAACTGAACCATCAGGGAATCCCTCACTTATACGTCTTTCAACTTGTCACATCCAGTTATCTTCCAGTTCTTACAGGCTCAGCTGGTTTTGCTCCTGAAAGCAGAACCCATTTTTAGGTTCCCTTTTTGTTTGTTTGGATTCCTTTTTTTGTGTCTCGTCGCTCTACTCTTCTTACCTTCCCTTATTTTCTATATTGACCCTATATGAACAAATCCACGCTCAGTTGTCAAGTTCATTTCCTTGAAATGCTTTTCTGACTGGTCAATCTCCCACATGCTGATTTTCATCGCCTCTCACTGCTTACAGAACATGGTCCAAACTCCTCATCTTGGCACCTAAGGCTCTCTGCAGTGTCTTTCCTAACAGTGTCCTATGGCCCACATTACATATTGTCTTCTGCTGTTTTACTAATCTGGAAGACAACCCCTCACTCTAGCTATACGCCCAGTTTCCGCTGTCTCTACGTTTTAAAAGTTAACCCACCCTTTGGAGTCCTATCAACCTCCATGAAGCCGTTTTTCAATCTCTAATAT